CAGTGTGTAATAAACATTCTTTTGGTACTAAATCCAAACCACAGCACTATGCTAGCTACTATGAAGAAAATTAACTCTATCCCAGCCAAAACCAGGACAGGGGACAAATCCCATTTTGTCCAAGATCTGTTTTCCATTTCTCCTTTCTGCCCTTCTTCCACCCCTCCTGCTTCCAGCCCGCTCCTCCCGCTCAGCTCCGGTTATTTTAAGTTCCCTTCCCAGGGCACTCAGACGCAGCGTTTCACCCGAGCACCCGCTTAAACTTCGCGGTCTGAGCCCAGCGCAGCCTGGCAGGGCCGGGTGCTGGGTCCATGCACTTGTGGTTTTTTTAACCTCCACCTATTTTACTTTTTTTTTTTGTGCCGGTGAGGGTGGGTGCAGGACAGAGACCGTCTGTGCCCCTTCCACGATGTCTGCCTCCCCGTGTCCCACAGCCACCCCACGCAGAAAGCAGCTCCTTGTTCCCCAGCGGCCGGAGGTGCCTTTGCCCTCGAGCCTTTCGCCTGAATCATCCCTTGTTTACTGCCAGGGGAGAGGAAAATCAAAGTTTGGCCAAAGCACCATCAGGCGGGATTTTATTTGTGGCTTCGATTGGTGTTGCTGCGGGGTGGGGATGGATGCTCAAACCCCCCTCCCTTGTGCTGGGTTCCCAATCCTCTCTCCCCCACTGCAGGATGGCAGCGTTTCAGCCAGAGTCTGGGGAGCCTTTTAATTAAGCAGCCAATTCGTGCGGTCCTGGGGAGATGAGCAGCCCGGTTCTCTGGTGGTCTTCACCTCCTCTGGCTTCACGGAGGGCGATGGGGGTGCCTAGAGCTCCGTCCGGCAGCGCTGTGCCCTGGGCTCCTGGGACGATGCCCTGTGTCTCTGCAGCCACTCCAGTTGGCCTCAGTGGCTTCGTCCCTCCTGCCCGTGCCGGCAGTGCTGGGACCCCAGGGGACCATCTCCTCCAGGTGCTCTGATGAGTTTTGGCAGTTGCATCACGACCTTCACAACAAGGCTTTATTATTTCTTGCTCTTTTTTCATCCCTCTGGAGCCTGTCTCCTTCCCTCCAGCAGTGTCTTCCTCTGCGTCTCCATTTCCATCTCAATCCTCCTGGACCTTGTCTGTTAGCATCGCTTCATCCCACCCATGAGGCCACCTCATGTCCAGTTGGGGACAAGGGTCCCATGCGGTGGCAGGGGACCGGGGCTTGAGTTTCTCCCCTGGCAGAGGGCTGCAGGGGGGGCTTGGGAGCCGGGGGGGTCAGGGAACGGGGTGTTCCGCCCCCTCCCCAGCACCCAGAAGCCCCACCGAAAGCTGCAGTCGCACCACTCCATCAACAGCCAGAGCAGCAAGAAGAGCAAGGGCAGCTCCAAGTCGGCCTCTTCCCACATCCCTATTGAGGCACAAGAAGGTACCGGCTCTTCCCGGGGGGTCCCTTTCCAGCCACTCTCCTCTGACCCCACATCCCTTGGGGTCTCTCATCTAGCATCCTTCCAGCCCACCGGGACCCCTGGATCTGGGTGTCAGCTGAGCTCCCAACCTGGGAGCCTTCTCTAGGGTGTGTGCTGAGCAGGGGTCATCTCGTGTCCTCCAAAATTGATGCTTCTTGGGGTCTGGGCATGTCCCAAGCAGCAGGGTCAGTCCCCAGGCATTGAGGGAAACCCCTGGAGCAGTACCTGGCTCCTAGCCCCTATTCCTATCCCTTCCATTAATTCCCAAGGGAGGATTTCCACCCTTTTGGGGCTGAGCATCCATCCGTCGGGCACCCAGCCTGGCCATGGGTGCTGGCATCCCCCTCTCTGCCCACTCTCTGGCCGTTCCTCCGCAGACTGCTGCGTCCACTGCATCCTCTCCTGCCTCTTCTGCGAGTTCCTGACCCTCTGCAACATCGTGCTGGACTGTGCCACCTGCGGCTCCTGCACCTCTGAGGACTCCTGCATCTGCTGCTGCTGCTGCAACTCGGGCGAGTGCGCCGACTGCGACCTGCCCTGCGACATGGACTGCGGCATCATCGACGCCTGCTGCGAGTCGGCCGACTGCCTGGAGATCTGCATGGAGTGCTGCGGGCTCTGCTTCTCCTCCTGAGGTGCTGTACTCGGTGGGGGGGGGACCAGGAGTGGGTCCCTCCCAGCCCCTCCTGCAGCGGCCAAGGGTCCGGCCAGTCCCTGAGCCAGCAGGGGGGGACATCCAGGTGTGAAACGCTGAAAGACGGAGCTCGGTGAAGGAGGAGAGCGATATCCCCCCATTGCAAACCTCATCTTTGGAGCCAGTGAGCCAGCCTGGGATCCTGCCTGGGGAAGGGTGAATTCGTAGGGCCGCGGGGGCTCCGGGGACGGCCGGCATCCCGTCATGCTCTACCTCTTCCCTGTGCCGGGCCAGTTCACCGAGGATCACGGGAGCCTCCTGCCACCTGAGCCGAGAGCAGGAGAGCCCGCCCCGTGCCCCACAGAGCCCACAGGTGCCACCCCAGCATCCCAGCGTTGGGGACAGCCACTGCCACCGCCAGGGCTGCCCCAGGACAGTGCCCTGGTTTGCTTGGGGGTGGCACAGAGCATCCTCCCACCCCAGGACACCTCCAAGGCCGGGCACAGTACAGAGCCCACCGGGCACCGGGAAGCGCTGAAGCCTTTGGCCAGGCTGCAGGGTCCTGTGCCGTGGGACTCATCCTGCCCGCC